TCATGAGCTCTAAAGTATGCACAGATAATTTATTTTCGGCTCTGAAACTGATGTTCAAATTGATTCAGCTGGGGTGCGGTATGCTTGCAATAAACTCATGCCAGTCTGCCTTGAATTGCTGCTTGGGGAATTCCGGAACCTTCAAATCGCAACTACTGAAGTCGCCGGAGATGAGAACTTGGCTGTATCGTCCTCGTGGGACCCAGCCCAAAGGATAATGTTAGGCTGGAGTTCATCTCTGCGGTGGACATGGGGGGACCATAAACAACGGCCGAAGGCAAGTGTCGTTGCGTTTCAGTCGCAGACTACTCCAGATAGAGTCCATGCATATCAGTTCCGGGTCGACCACCGCTTTCCACCGCAAGCCGTTGTGGTAGTATACTACTACCCCCTGCCGTTGCTTGCGCGATCGTTTACGAGAAGGGACAAACTATTTATCGCGAGTTTGGCGTCCGTAATTTCTGCATGTAACCATGTTTCGCTGACGAATATGTGGTTACAGTCATGTGACGCTGGACGTAACCGCAGTTCGGCAAGCTTGTTTAGGAGACCTTGTGCATTAGTGTACATGCAATTAATCGTGGGATGCGTGTTTTAGGTAAAATGTTTTACCGTCCTGTGCATGATCGGTCACTTATCCTTTCCTAGGTGGGGCGTATACGAACTCATCTTTGTCCGATCCATGGATCCTACCATTATCTATTTGCTTCGCACTTTGTATGTAATATATAGGGTGTGTTTGCCAGGTTCGTTGGCTAGTTGATTGAGGCTATCCAAACTCTTGTCGGGAGATGATTCGACTAAGTGGCTGCTCTCGTGTGTTTACTTGTTTGATGCCGATTTGATGCTGAGCTCCGAAGAAATGTTGCTGCGTCCAGCATACCAGCAACCTAGCACCGTTGCTGACGTTTACCTAGATTGAAGGACAACTATCAGAATCCTCGGGCCAGATCCTTGGTAGTTTAGGGATCGTCGCAGCCTGGAGATTGATCGCGCTATGACGTGTTCCAAGAAGAGGGTCTCGCGAATGTACCGCCCCTGTTCCTGGTCGTGAGTGGCCACTTCGCACTCGTCAGGACTTCCAGCCTCGAGAACATGGAGTACAAAATGGTCCTGGCTACGGATTCCTTCCAGTTTTCGTCAAAGTAGTGCTTCGCCTGTTTGGGCTATCCTTCCACAAAATATCCGAGAATAGGCGGATGGAACACGAGCCATTCCGGAGGCGACATACAGATAATATGACAGCTTTTGCTTTAGCTGCAGAAGCCAACTCAACTTGGAGAAGTTTTGGTCAAACGTAGCGCAGTGAGTTTGGGTGACAGGTAACACGTGTCTAATTGACGGGCTTAGCTACAACAGCTATAATGTCACATTTGTAGTTCCACTGGTTGCCGCCGCCACGTTGTTTTCCTTTTAAATAATTACAGGTCCATTCTGGAACAGTGGTGTATATTACCGCTGGTATGCTAAGTGCAAGCCGGGTTAAATTTAAACGAACAGCCAGTCCGCCTACAGCCGATAGATGCTGTGTGAGTACAGCTTCCTCTTCTGCATATCAGCTGGGTACAATGGGAGTAGCCGAAAGTCTAGGTTTTCTGTCACTTTTCGCAGCAACCAAATTCCAACCACCACCAGTGTTGAAGTCCTTCTGCATTTTCGGAACCGTTTGGAGAGTGGACGTGGCCCAGACCGTGCTCAATCTAATCGGAATGGCGGTGGTTGTTTCAGGCATATTCGAGCAACCGGCAGTATTGACGTTTAAAATCACAGATGGTGCAATTTTAGCGAGCTGCCCAGCCTTCCTCCTCCAGTTTATCGCGGGGTCTGATGGGAAAGACGTGGGTTTACACTTTGTCACCCTATTTTCTAACGGATCGTTATTGCTGCTTCTCATTTGTTCAATCATTGCCATCAATCACTCGTACTTTTGTGCAGGTTTTAACAGTGGGAGGCCTATTCATATTGAACAGAACCACAGCGAATCTGGTTTACTATTGTGTAGCTTCAACCGGTTTTCTGTATACTTAAAATATTTATGATGAAACTTGCCAAGGCAATTGCGTCACTGGATTCCAATTCGTACATTTTTATGGCATGAAAGAAGGACACAAACTACTACCAGACGGGATGCGGTTACCTGGGCTTTTGATTGGTCACCACAAACCACCGCGTCGATGGATTCTATTTCTATCAAGGCCCGAGCGCTTATGGTTTCCTGCGGGCTGAGTGTGCGCTGAATTATCCGCATGTGCAAGGTCGTCGCATTCTGTGCACCTGGCCGGGGCAGGTTTGAACGGCGTGATCGTTCCTACGACAAACCCAGATATTGAGCGATACTGAAGCAAAGTCTACCATAGCTACTTTGATGAACTGTCCACAGCTGTGGTTGCCAACCAGTCAGACAAAACTTGGAGTTGGCTTTCGTTTGAGACCACAAATATTGCTGTGCAGTTTGTGGTTCGGAAAATTCCTTGAGTGATTTTTTGCGTAAATGGTGCAAAAACCGCAATGTAGAGAAAAGTGTTATGCACTCAAGCTGAATCCAAAAGATGGAGCTCGATAAATAGCACTGACGAAGCAGTAAAAAGCAGTAAGTTTTTTAACTGCTGTTGTTTACACATCCACCAGAAAGTTATGAATGTGTACCTGGCAATCGGTTTCTATGGGATGATAGTCTTCCGCAGTTTCAATAAACAAACGATCTGTTTCTTTACTTAGTTGGCAGGTTTCACGGTCAAGTTCATAAAGAAGGTCCAGAGCTGCTTTACGTTCAGGCCATCGATGAAGATAACGTAGCAATCGATACATCATTCTCACACTTCAATGACAAACTCTTAGCTTGTGTTTAACTATTGTGGGAGGTAACAAGGCATACATTTCCTATTATTTTATTGTAAACTACCATAGCGACATTTACCTAACTTGTTTCAACTTTATAGACAGGATCACGAGGTAAACATACTTTGTGATTTTCGTGATGGCTCTTTACAAGAAATTCAAAGGCAGCTTTTTGTTATTTAGCGCTGTAATTTGCTTGGCGGAATGAGTAAGTGTATTTTGTTCAGTTGATCATGAAGGACCGGCGAGTCGTCATGCACCAGCTTGAGTACAACGACCCTGAAGTGCAGTGTTGTGGGTTACTAAAAGAAAACAATGCGTACAATATAATTTGAAGCTGGTGACTCTGCGCGTTACTTTTCTCAGCTTACATATTATCGCACCTTGAGTATCACTGAAGTCCAATTCGGTTTGGTGCACTATGAGTCGGATGGCGCCGGAATGATAGATTCGTTTGCGTGCACATAAAGTGAAGGGGTGAAATTTTGATCGACAAGACAGACTGAATGTACACGTTGGTTAATCGACGTCGCTTGAACAGTTCTCTAACTTACTCAGTAAGCTTCAGCCTTCATTGAAATTACCTAGGTACTAGGAGTTGATGATAAATCCCCGCGCGCTAAACGTCAGTTATATGCGGGGAATATCCAGTTATTATTAAATAACACCGTCGTCATTGTAGGAAAATTAGAGTGTGTTGGTAGTGACTAAGTAGAACTTTGGTTGAAACGCTGGCGAAGATAACAAAGTTATAATGGGGCATAGAATCATTAAGAATGGATCGGTTGTGCCTCTGCGTCCTATGATGTCAAGTGATATTTATGGCTTAACTGGGCAGCAAGACACCTACAAAATCTACAATAGCTACATGCCTCACTTGAAGGGGGATTAACATCGTCCATAGAAGATAACAGGTGATGGAGACCCTGAACGTTTACTCATATTCGTGATGGGCTTGGTACGCTCATAACGGAAAAAGCAAGTTCACAAATTAGGGAATAAATTCCTGAAAACAGATAGTAAATTATGGTTTGCGGAACTTCTACTTTATTGGTTCCACAAAATCAACTATTTCATGGAGTTGGCGGTTTTATGTCTATTTTTGTCAAAAGGCGATAAACTATTTCTTGAGTGCACACAGCATGGATAACAGGTGCTTACCAAATGCGTACGCAAGTAATTCAACTGAAAAAACGTACTATAGTTAGACGAAAGGTAGAATATTGATATGAAGCATAAAATATAACAAAATATGGGCTTATTTTCATGAACAAGACAAAATCGTTCAGGAGAAGAGAAGGTACGTACCCTTTCAAAAAGCGATAACTAACCGAACTTTTATTTTGCGTTGACTGCTATGCACCATGATTTAGAGTTCGTTTCGTTTTCCAATCACGTAAATTAGGGTAGCCAATGTAGTAAGTAGATAAAACATTAACATATCATCAAGCCTGTTTTGTTTGTGACAATATTATTGGCAGCGCCTTTACACCGGAGCTGAATTGCAGCAATCCAGGTATAACAAAGATTAAGAAGATGGAACAAGTTTTACACATTGGTCAGTTGTAAGTATATACAGGTAAGCGACAAGATGATCGATGCATTCTATTTTCTTGACGGGGAATGGAAGCCTGATTTTGACACTCGCTAAATGTTACAATCGATAGCACAGCGCTCCCGATGTTGCGTTTGCGTATTTCTTCTTGCGTTGGCTGATCCACACATCTCCATCTAGACAGTTGTGGCCTATATCAACGAATACACAGCAACTGATGTGACAACTGTTCGAGATAGACAGAGAACACGGTGCGGAGTGGCTGGCCACCAGGCTGATAGAAAGCGCATACAACACCATTATTTCTTATTGATGAAAGCAGTCGCAGACGGCACTACCTGCACAAAAGTACGGATGAAAAGCTAGCTGCAGAAACTTTTACTGCAGTTACTGGCGCACTTGTCTGAGGTCTTACGTTTACTCAATACTTAGTAATAATTTAGCTCATGTTTAATTGGAAACCACATTCAGGTCATGGCTTCTGCCACTTTTATGTGGCGCAATCTTTGTGATAGCATGCACATCCACTAACCACACTTAATACAGTTTGCGATCAAAAAGGAAATTCGCCCAGTGGTTTAAACTTGCAATAAATCAAACAAACAAGTAGCGGGTAGCAATATTTATTCAATAAAAACGGCTCATTTTAAGAAAGCTTATACCGTCAATTTTACACCAGTCTGCATTCTACTGTACGGTCAAGATTGGTGAATCCTTGACATCAACTGGAATTCTTTCCAATAATACCACAATGCAGAACCGAAAAATAACATTTTCCACCGGTATTCGAATTTCTTTGGATGATCTAGACTGTGGAATGTTCACGGATCTGGAACTCTCCACCGTTGGTCTCTTTCTTGATTCAGAGCAACTGATGAAGAAGCATAATTAAAGAATTAGCTGTGACTATCCATGAGTAAGTGTGAGATAAGTCACTGAACTAGAGACGATCCACCTGTCAGCAGATTAGATACCACTGGGGAGTAAACAAGCGCTTGGATAGGGAATCATGTAACACCGAATAATTGATACACACCTGTAAAGATGCTTCAGGCAAGGCTAGATAGAGCCAGTCTACTGGGTCAGGAGTGGTCGGAATGTATCCGAAAAACCCATACTGTAATTCCACGGTGGCTTCATTTTTGTGGTTTATAGATCTTAGTATTTATGTCGATGGAGCTTCCACCATCTGAAATCTACCGGTTTACGTCTACCCATGACATAATTGCTGAACAACGAACAATGTGTTGTAAAAATTGCTGTAGGATGACTGGAGCGAATATTATAAAGTCAGAGTATAATATGACAAGAAAAAGGGAAAATTCTACTAGAAAGTAACTCATCAAGTCATCAGGCTAAATACTGATTACCGTTTCTTCATCGCTACGGCAAGCAGAATGCCACAGAACGCATAGTTTGGTTTTGTATCAGTTCGTCCTCTGAATAAAACGGACTGTAGCAGTTAATGCAAAGTGTACGTATTGTCAAGGCGTTTTTGGAAAGCGTTAAAATGGGAACACAAATGAGGTAGGTTGGAAGGGTGTTAAAGATTCAGGATAACAGAAGGGCGAAATGGTGTTGTCGCCAAGCACGCCGGACATAATATATGGTCAGTTTGTGCTGGTAGCCTAACTGGTTAGTATTTTGACTGAGTTGAAACAGGTCCCGACACGCGTGGTCGAGGTTCGCGTCCAATTTGTAAGACGAATTAACCTCTGCGCTGCATTGCGGACAGGCTTCCTAGCCAAAGGCTTTGGTTGAGGACACCAACCGTTCTTCTGTCTTGGTATGAGAGCCCTGACAGGATCAGCCCAAGTACAACCATCGCTACTTCTTCAAACTTAAACCATATCCTGCATTGACCGTTGCGTCGCTCATCAAGGGTTGCTTTATCTGTTGCACACAGCAGCGTATGTAAGCAAAACATGCTACTGCCAATGCCTCCGTTCTTTCATTGCCACCTCTTTCTCTTACTGCCCGCCCGAACCCCATCATTTCCCTACCATAATTCCCCGCTTAACTAACAGTTGACACAATGTCGTTGCAGTTTATCTTCTGCAGATACCTTTTCGCTGCACTCCCTGGACGCCTATTGGCAACACTTTCTCTTAAAGTCACTCCGCTCCGTTTAGTTGGCGCAGTTCAACCTTCGAACTATAAAACATATGAGTTAACCGTCTGCACTCGCACGCAGATTGGACACACTGGGTACTGACATGTGTTGTGCATCCAAAAATATGATTAATTATCTTAATAAAGTAGTTGAACTAACTGCTCCCGGTATGTCCTCTCGCTATTGCTTGAACGCAACCGGGGATGTTGATGCGGACAATATAAGTCAACCTAAGGTAGGCATCAATCTCCGCTCCAAGACTGAGACTACTGTGGTTTATTGAATTCCCATAAGCAACCGTTTGCGTGAAGCTCGTTTGAAGATATCAGCTAAGGTTGAGTCACAAAGTGGTGTTAGACGAGTTTCGTTTGTTATTTCCGTTTATGCACCCAAGGATTGCAGTTCTGATGCTTCCAAGGACTATGCTATCACGAACTGAACACTTTGCTTCGCAGTGTTGCCAGTGCCAAGCGTAATTGTTACAGGGGGGCATGAATATGCATATATGTCGTCTGTGGTCTTCAGAAGCTCAGCTATGTTGCGTGTATGGAAAACACTCCGACAGGATAGACAACAGCGAACGTTTGCTGCAAATGTGTGCGGAGCACCAAGTGTTAATAGCATCGATTTCAGGCACATTGGGGGCCGAAGGGCTAGTTGGCGTTCGATCATAGCTGGCAAGCCATGGACCCAAATAGATCATTTTGCCGTAAGTTACAGGTAGCGTTGTTACATCCTAGATTACCAATCGTTTGGGAGTACCTGCTTTCAAGCTGATCACGATTCCGTACATTGCCATTTTCCATGAACTTTATCTGGAAGCGTACCAAGCGTCACCATGGATTGTCAACTGAGAAGTTATCCCAGCTCTTAGTCACTCAAGCCTACCCGGAAGCCCTGCGTACCGAAATTTCGCTTTCTTGTTTTTATAGCAATGGGCTTCTGTGGAACAGGATCATGGCCGCCATGCAAGACACAAGAACATTAGCTTGCCGTACTATCAGTCGTAATCACAACAGTTACTGGATATGCGAGAGCTTGGTGAACTTATTGGGGTCCAGAAAAGTACCGCTGTTTGGCTCTGAGCACAATGTATTTAGGCGGAATATTCGACACGATCTAAAGCAGGGCTAAAGTGCTGACAAGAAAGCCTAGTGAAACAGTAGGGCTCAAGGAGAGAAGGGGACAGGAGAAGTCTTTACTTATCACAAGCTCTTTCATTTGGTCCCGGGAAACCAGGGGTCTGTAAGACAAACAAAGATGGCAGTTGTGTCCTGGTTCACAATAATGCGTGCCGTGTGGCTCATTGGCCGGGGAACTTTAAGTAACATTTCACCTGGTCGCCTTCTCTAGGAAACTTTCCAACTCAGCTGATGAAGCCATGGTTGGTTAGTTTAGGATCTCTAGCTGAAGATCAGATACGAAACGCGATCAAAGCCTTCAATCATTTTCCTGCTGCAGGCCAGGATTTGCTTGCACCCGCCCTATTTTGGATGGAGGTGAGGTCTTTTGAAAAGCTCTGACCACTCTGTTCGAAAATTTATGGAAGCAGGAGACCACCCCAGCTAACTGAAGTGAACAAATTTTTGTGGCAATACACAGGAAGGGTAGTCGCACAGACTGTGCTAACCACAGGGGTATTAGCCAACCGCCGATTGTGGCAAACTCACTAGCCTCAATTCTTTTTCGTCGCCTCACAGCGGAACCGGAATCGCTGCCTAGGGAAGAGTAAGCAAGTTTCTGCCGAGGACGGGGCCGCATAGACCATATATTCTCTCTATGGTATGTTTTAAAGCACCAGCACACGTTTCATTGACCGACTATAGCTGTGTTCATCAACTGTAAGTGTGTGTTGTACTTACATGCTGGATGTATTCTGTTTGAAATCCATGTGCGGGAAGTCAGCCGCATGAAATATGTAAACGCTTTATGTGTCTGCACTCGTACAACGCAGACTTAGCCAGAGCCTACGGTGACTTCACGGACATCTTCCCTACAACAAGTGGCGTTCGTCAGTGTTGCACGAATTTCTCTATTTTGTTCAAATTCGTTGTGGACTCCATCATGGAGTGTTCTCTTATGGAATCTCACGACGTAGGTGTCAAGGTGATTCTTGGTAAGTAATTAGTTGACCTTGATTACGCGTACGATATCAGCTTGCTGTTTGACGATGTTAAGGCATACCATTCAACGTTGAAGAAGACTTCTAGCGCTCCTATCACTTGGAATGGATCTCCCACTTTCAAAGTGCAAAGTGATTTTGCAGACCCACTAGCCACTTGCTGACCCTTGACACTTGATGGCGAGTACTTAAAGGCATTTTAGTAATTCACTTACATTAGCATTTGCATCTGCGACGACCGGCACGGAACCACTGAAATCTTTTTCCGTATTGCGGAAACTAGAATTGATTTCTTTAAATTACATTTTCTGTGGCCTCAGAAAGGAGTTAACCTCGGTCTGAACAGCCGTGTGTACAAAGCCCCAGTGAGAGCCCTCCAACTCTATGCTATTGAAACATGCCTGCCTCGGTTTGAGTATCTGAGGTGCTTGAAGGCACCTGCCTGTTGCGTGCCCGGCAGTGCTGTTATTGGATGGCACCAGCATGTCCGCAACTATGTTCTGCGCACGCAAGCACCAAGCAGTGATAAGCAAGCCAGTTCCTTATAGCCACAGTAAGCAATGAATAAGTTACGTTGGCTTGGGCACGTCCTACGTATAGCTGGTTATCGCTTGCCTAAGGGGGCGTTGTTTTGCTGTCAGATGTATGGTGATGCAAGGCTCGAGGTAGGCAAATGTTAACGTGGCACCTGGAAATGAAGGCAATGACTACAAGACTTGGTGCGGTTGGTCACGCTCACCTTCCAGGCTGGACTCCACGTGCCCCGCATTGTGCTCGGTTTGCTACATTAAAGGACGTGATTCAAAGTCGGCCCCAGTGGCGTCTCGCAGTCAGACGGGTTATTTAAAGTGTGTTTGGTGCTGAGCTATCAGCAAGTAATGGCTGATTAAGACGCTGGGTAGTGAAGGCTGTAAGGAAGCTATCTCCTTAATGCCCCATGAGCTTAAAACGATAGTCAGCTTTTGAGATTCTACGTTGTTTACAAGTTGTAAGTACCCAGAACCTGAAAGTTTACTTAGGGTACTAATGTTGTATGCCGATCATCCTTCTATCCTTCTTGTTATTCTTGGTATCGTAGATGGTTATGGCTGTACCGCATTGAAGCATAAGTTCAAATGACTGATGTATTGCTGTTGCTGTCGATGACAATGATGATCATGGTTCGCCAGTATTTGTCAAACCATGACGAGGTCCCAACGCTGACGCCAGTATTCACCGCCTTACAGTTCCAGGGCCTGCAGTCAGCGTTGGTAGGGAAGTTAAAACGAACCACCAACGAATGTGGTCGCTCTATGTTGTGCAGCTTCAGGCGCATCACATCCAAGTTTGCGCTGTGGAAGTCAGACATGAAGAGTGTATTCCACATTGAGCCTCCCGTCAACGTTCAGCAGTTTCGTTAAGAAAGGTGGCTCACGTTTTCCGAAAGCCCTCCGTAAGAGTCCAAAATGCTGACTGGCTCTTGTCGACGCTTTGCGGTCTGTTTTGAGCAGCCGATGGTACCAGCACAATTACATCGAAAACCCCTGCTCCGAGAGCTCATTCTTTGGAAGCACATCGCAACTTCTGGCCGCTGATCCGACATTCACCGTCACGGTGAAGGCATATGTTCCCGACCATGCAGTTCTTCACGTATAAT